GTTGCCCCCGTACCGGACCGGGGACCGGCAACGGGATTGCAACTCTCGGTGTTGCACCCGCGCCTCGCTCAGCCAGTGAGCGGGAACCGGTCTCCACATGGGATCCGAACCCTCGGCGGGAGGGCTGCCGTGCTCCCAAGCGGTGCACTCTCCAGTGCGCCACTGGGCCAGCCCCCAATTAAGTTTTTTTTTTTTTTTTTTTGTTTTTTGTCTTTTTCCGTGTCCGGCAACGGATCGCAACCCTCAGTGTTGCCCCCGTACCGGACCGGGGACCGGCAACGGGATTGCAACTCTCGGTGTTGCACCCGCGCCTCGCTCAGCCAGTGAGCGGGAACCGGTCTGTATGTGGGATCCGAACCCTCGGGCGGGAGCGCCGCCACGCTTCCCAAGCGGCACACTTATCCAGTGCGCCACCGGGCCGGCCCGCCCCCAATTAAGTTTTAATTCCTCTTTATGATTTGTTTGCATTGCTGAGTGTGCTAGATTGACATATTCTAGAGGTTCATTCATTTCATCTTTTTAGGTATATTTATTTATTGATAAGTAGTGGTAACATATATCTTACTATTAACATAAATTATAACAGTTTGGCTTTTATATGTTTGTTAATAATGTAATATTGAAAAGGACGACAACAACATCATTTTCATTTATTGTGAAACAAAGAATCTCAGAGACAAAACAAAATCTTATTTATGAATAAAGTTAAGCAATACTCGCAAAATAAAATTGAGAACTCAACTGAATTAATAATAAAAATTTTGAATAGAGATGCACATTTTAACCATAGTAACCCTTACTTTTTTCACAACGAGGATATTCAAGTTTCCCATCTTGACACATTGTTCGAAATGGATGAGATGATACTTTATAATATCCACTTTTACATGTAAATTCAACATACTCCCCAGTTTTGGAATAAAGCTTTTTTTTAGATAGCCACCTTAATGTAATGTTGTATTTTTCCATGATTTCTTCTGATATTACACATGCATCTGAAAGTAGAAAAAAATTATCATAGAACATTGATTAGTATACAAACTTTCCTCATACATTTTCAGGTTCTGAAGTAGAATGCCATATAATAATTTGAAAGTTCTTTTCAAAACGTTTTGCAAACAAACTGTGTAAAAAATGTCATAGAGGTTAAGGGTAAAACAATAAATGATGTAAAAATGAAAAAATAATTTTCTAAATTTTATTTTATATATTAATATTTGGTATATGAGCATTCAGCATAATGGTTGTTCTTTAATCTGTGAAAATTCTAATTTAAACAGCAAAATATACCCATAACATTTATTTTTTCAGAATCCATGAGAATATTTAAGTACTTACGTAAGCATATTGGTGGTTCAGACCACTGTCCATTTCTACATGTTATTGTCTTGTTACCCTCAAGTTGGTACAAGGACTGGCATTGATACTGAACTGATGATCCTGAAGCATATACTATTAATGGGAATGAAGTGATGTCTCCATTGTCAATAGCTGGTGGGGCCCCACATTTTCCTTTGGACTCTGAAAAATATCATTTGATTTATAGAGGGACCAAATCAAAATACAGATTAAAACAAAGCAAATATAAATCCAGCGGTATTTTAATATAAAGACTTTTGTGAATTCTGGTGACAGAAATAATTCTTTAAATAAATGTTAATCATAGAAACTGAAAGCTACATTTTCAAGCTCTCCCTTTCACCTCATTGAAAACAAATGTAAAGCATTAAAAAATACGTCTGCTTTGCAGTGTTCCAGTATCTAAAAAAAATCTTCCTTAATGAATAAATGCTGAACAGATATATATCTAAAACAAAGGTTTTTTTTGTTCTTACACACAAAATACTATGGTGTTTATTGTGTCTCTAGTCATTTTTCTGATTTTCATTTCAAAAGAAACATCAACTTTTTAAAAAATTTTCAAAGAATACAAAGGTAATTTGGGGGTAAAAAGGAATTTGCTTTCTGATATGGACAAGATGAGGGGAAAAAAATTCTATATATGCCTTCTGCTAAGTACAACTAAAGATCCTGGACATAATATTTTTAAAAAACCGACATAAGTGGATTTTAAAAGATATAGAGAATTTGACCCGGTTGGGGACTTCAGGACTCAAGGAATGAAAGAACAGTCTCTCCTCCTATGTAGCCTGGATGGGGCACTGGAGGAGACTGCAACTCAGAAATGATATTATGTTCAGTCAGAAAAGGAAAATCCCAAGAAGAGCCTAGTCTCTTTAGTCAAAGGTCCAGCAAAGGAGTAGTCTAGCAAGACCAAAACTTTTTTTATTTAACAATATTTGACATAAACTAGAAAAACATCCTACGAAACCAATGATCACCCTCTGCACTTCCTGACAAACAGAAGGAAAATGAGAAACCTAGACAACCATTCTCATGTTGAGCTCATGACACCTCTTCCCTTTCCTGTGGTGTCACCAGAATCACCCTCTGCACTTCCTGACAAACAGAAGGAAAATGAGAAACCTAGACAACCATTCTCATGGTGAGCTCATGACACCTCTTCCCTTTCCTGTGGTGTCACCAGAGGCCAGGTAGGAAACCAGGACTTTCACCTAGCATGGCAGTAATGAAACTTGCTAAACAAGAGATTTAGATAAAAGCCAGAGTCTAAAAATATAATACTCTATATATCCAGAATAAAATTAAATATCATTCAACATATTAGGTACTAGAAAACCTCAAAAGAGAAAAGACAATCAACAAAAGACAACACTGAGATGACACAGATGTTGAAATTGACAACAGTTTTAAAAACTCAGTAGGAATTATAGATCTGAAAAATATAAAAGAAATTTGAAAAAAAACCCACCTCACTGAATAGGCTTAATAATAGATTAAAGATGGCAGAAAAATAAATCTATGTACTTGAATATAAAACAATACAACTGCCAAGTCTGAAAATTGACTGAAAACCAAAAAATGAACTGAGCTTCAGAGACCTTTAGAAGAAAACAAAGAGAGACATAGTAAGGGGAAAGAGAGGAAAAATGGAATTGGGTTTTTAAAAATTCAGAGAAATAATGACTATAAATATTCTAAATTTGACATAAGACATAGACTACATGTTCAAGATGCTGAGTGGACTCCAAAGAGGATAAGCCCAAAAAGATTCAAGCCAATACACATCATAATAAAACTGCTCAAAGGCAAAGGAAAAGAAAAATATTTTGAAAGCAGTTAGATAGAAACTATGCATTGTGGAATATACTTTAAAGCATATGTACTCCACAGGGCCTGGTTCTCCAAAGTCTTGCAGTTTCAAATATTGACCTTGCGGAGGACTGGAAATTTTCTTCAGGCTATAAGTCTCTGGTGTAAGATAAAGATTTGTGGCACAGCAAGGTTGCTGGCTCAAGGACAGACTAGTTACTGATTGTTATGTAAAGATACTGAGAAATTGCTATAAGATCATTTCATTGTCTACTGGAACGTCATCTGACTTGTTTCACTGAAAGTTACCAGCCTATACTGTTAAACTATAACCCCACCTATGTCTCTTCCTGTAACTTCCTGGTCTGGAAAATAAATGCAGGAAGAGAACCTCAATTCAGGGTTAATTTCCCAAGGAAGGGATGCCTCACTTGAGCATTTCCAAGGGAAGTTAACCACTTCGGTGCTTCTCACTGCTCAGTAGAGATGGGCTTTGAGTAATCCTTTGCATCTCTGTCACCCACGGGAAGTGGGGTGACAAATCCATGGGGGCTGAAGCAGCACAAAGCAACAATGCATTATTTATAGGTGAGCAGGTGGGAAGTTAACCACTTCGGTGCTTCTCACTGCTCAGTAGAGATGGGCTTTGAGTAATCCTTTTCATCTCTCTCTCCCACGGGAAGTGGGGTGACAAATCCATGGGGGCTGAAGCAGCACAAAGCAACAATGCATTATTTATAGGTGAGCAGGAATTCAAATGACAGTGGGTTTCTCATCTATGACCATGGAGGCCACAAGGTAATGGCACATTTTTCAAGTGTGGAATAAAAGAATTGTTAATCCCCAATTCTGTGTCTAATGACACTATCCTTTAGGAATAATAGGTCAGATAAATGCATTCTCAGAGAAAAGAAAAACCAAGAGAATTTGTCTCCAGCAGACATACCCTTGAAGAATAAGTAAAGGAATTTTCCAAATAAAAATGAAAAGATAAACAGGATATTGAGACTTCAGGAGAGAGAAAAGAACAATGTAACTGATAAAAAGAGAGGTAAATATAATAGACTATTTTTTTCCTCATGAGATTGTTCAATTATGTTTGATGTTTGTAGAAAAATTCTATCATTTGATATGGTGCTGACTGTTATTTACAGGAAATACCGAAAGTATTTGTATTTAATATGAAGGGAAGGTAATGGATCTAAATGGAAGTAAGGTTTCCATCTTTCCACTGAAGGGCAAAATGTTAATACCAGTAGAGAGGGATAAGTCACACACACGCGTGCACTTCAAAAGGTTCATGGAAAGACTCACATTGTCCTTCAATTCTATTTTCCATGAACTTTTTGAAGTGCCCTTGTATATATTGCAATACCTTGAGCAGCAACCTTAAAAAGGGGGGGGAAATTATACAGAGAGACACACTTGAAAACAGTAAAGACGAATCAAAATAAAAAAATCTTTAAAAGTGCTTGTCATGAGGAAAGGGGAAAGTGAACTGAAAAACAGAGGAAACAAACACAAAGTGATAGACATAAGCCCTTCATATATCAATAATTACTTTAAATGTAAGTGGTCTGAGTATATCACTTAAAGACCAAGAACGGCAGGATGCACGTAAACACGACCTAGCTGTGTGTCGTCTATTAAACTTACTTCAACATAGAAGCACAGGTAGATTCAAGGTAAAGAATAGACAAAAATAGCAGGCAAAAATTAATTTTTTAATTTGCAAGTGGATAATAAAATGCCTTCTTTGTTGTCTTTTATTCCTGAATTCTAAATATCGTAGTGCGCTGTGACCCAGTGCTCAGACTATGTTTTTTAAATACACTAATTCCCCAGATGAGCTCAGCCAGCCACTGGCCTTTAACTATAATCTATATACTGAAGGTGTCCAAACTTATATCACCTTCTGTAATCATTCTTCAACTGCTTATTCCATTATCTCAAAGTGGATATCTCTTAGGGCTGTCAAATGTACATAATGTATCTCATATACATTATTTCCTCAAGAAATAAGTAATTATCTTAATGCTTAAGATAAGGAATCTGTTCCAACTGTTTCTTTAATCTAGTGAAATATTTATTTTAAAAAATACCATATTACTTGGTTCAGTTAACAAAAAGAACTGGATTTTAAATATCATCATTTTATTTACATTTGAAAAACTGTGTATCATACAAATTACTTCACTTTATTAACATCAACGTATTTTATTCTCACTATATTCTCAAAAAATTGGGGGAAGAAATATGATACTCCACCTTTGCATTTAGGTGGTTCCGTCCAGTTTCCATGGAGACACCTGATTTCCGGTTCCCCAAACATATCAAAAGGTTTCTTACATACATAGCGTACTCTCTCTTCAGATGGATACCTCGTCATCAGGCTAGATATTATATTAGCATTTTCCACTATGGGTGGATCATCACACGAAACATCTGAATAGAAAGAAAAGTGTCTTCACCTAGTGTTCATTTTGAGTAGCAAATCAACAAATAGAAATGCAAATATATTTCAAGGGGAACTGAAAATAAACAGATAACCTATCATGAAAGACCTTGTTGATTTTAATAGATTTGCATATAATATTGAGGAAAAAAGATAAAATAATATTTTTGGAAGATTTAAGCTCCATATCCTTGAATCCCTTCCCTGTCCTTCACAAAACACTGACAGAAATTTCTTTTTCCTTTTGAAGGCCACTAAAAATGAAAGGATTTTTTTGACATTTCTTTTTTAGTTTATCTGAGAATAAATGTTACAAGTTTCACAAATTCTACATGTATTTAAAAAATGCCAAAATATCAGGATAAAGAGATTATGTGCCATCAGATTTTGGTTTGCAATTATCCTGAATATTAAGTGTAATCTTAGCCCCTTAAAAATAAGCCCAAAGAGGCCTTTCCTTAAATAATAAGTCAAGAATTGAGGATATACTTTGAAGAACACCATAGTTAAAAGAATAAGATAATCAGTCAAAGGATCCCAACTTCAAATGTGTGAAAATAACTGAAAAATAAGACAATAATTATAAAAATAATTCTTTACTAACCAATTTGCAAATGTCTAAGGATACTAGGCTGAACAGGTATATGCACAGTAATAATAGGTTATAGCAATGGTTCCTAAACTGAAGTGTTCATAGAATCCCCAGGAGGAGTGGGTAAAACAGTTTCTGGGTCCCAGCCCTAGAGTTATTGATTCAATATCTCTAAAGTGAACTCATAAGTTTTTATTTGCATTTCTAACAATTTCTCAGAAGATGCTGATGCTGCTGGTCCAGTGACTGTATTTTGAGAATCACTGGGCTGTAAGATTAACCACTGTATACTCAATTCCATCCTTTTATTTTTAGGCATAAACCTACTTTGTCTCCACCTAAAAAACTAATCTATGTCCATTTTTTAATGATGCTAGAGACAATTCTATATTTTATTGCCTGACACTTTAATAAAAAAAATTTTTAAGTTCATCAAAGTACCTTTGCATGTTGGTTTTCCTATCCATTTGCCATTAACACACGTTACAATATTCGATCCATCCAATTGATAATATGTTGAGCATTTATAAGTCACTTGTTCTCCTGACCTATATTGTGTCTTCTCCTGACCTATGAGTATGGCGTTATCAAATTTGGGCAAATTATAACAATCCGTTTCTGAAAGGAAAATAATATGTATTTGTTTAGTAGATCTTTAAAAGTACATAATATACAATAATGTCGTTCCAAAATAGTAGTTAGCTACATATAGAAACAATGAATATTCAGTATTTGTCTTATAACCTCCCAAACTATGTTGTAAGTTTTGACTTAATTACACTGAATTGTTCTAGATTCATCCTAAGTATAAGATGTGAATGGTATCAAAAGCCTGAAGAGAGACGGGCAGCTATTAATAGTGTTTTTTTTTTTTTTTTTTTTTTTTTTTTTGTCCTTTTTGTGACCGGCTGTACCGTGCTCAGCCAGTGAGCGCTGTGACCGCACCAGTCATCCCTATATAGGATCCGAACCCGCGGCGGGAGCGCTACTGCGCTCCCAGCTCCGCACCCTCCCGAGTGCGCCACGGGCTCGGCCCAAGATTACACTTTTTGCATTCAAGTTGCTTTTGCCCGTACTTCCCACCTATATTATTATGTATTTCTAATTTTTGCTTCCCTTACATGTAATTTACCTATAGTAATTATTTCAAGAATTTTAAAAAATAGATGTTTATAGGGAAATAGCTGATAGCAGATTGAATAATACTGATGATCTAATTTTTGCTTCCCTTACATGTAATTTACCTATAGTAATTATTTCAAGAATTTTAAAAATTAGATGTTTATAGGGAAATAGCTGATAGCAGATTGAATAATACTGATGAACAGGGACCAGCTGTGTTCCAGGAACAGAGATCAGAAGTCTGAGAAAGCTTCACAGAAGATGTTGAAAGTTCACCTAAGATAATGTGAAAATGAAGTAATTTGGCTCATGACATCAAACACTTTTATTACAAGAGCTACCATTTTCTGCAAGAATCTGGAAAAGGTACCTTGTGAAATTTGAGAATTACTGCTTACTTTGAATTAAAGGTATTTATCATGCACATAATGAAATGAAATACACTGTACTTATGCATTTGGGTGGGTCAGTCCATTTTGCTCCTACACATTTTACAAATGCAGGTCCATCAATTCCAAAACCTTCCATACAGTTGTATGTAATTTCTGCTCCATATTGGTATTTGTGCATCTTGTCAGATACAACACCATAAAGAATTGAAGGTGGCTCTTCACAAGGAAGTCCTAAAAAAATGATAATAATAAATACATGTTTCAATCAGAAATTTAATTTTGTGTACCAGTTTTCATATTTAGTAGTTTCATTTGAAAATAAATCATAACACAGGAACTATTATGACATCACAGAGAAGGGCACAGATGCTTTCTAAAACCACCATTCTGCTGTCTGTCCATCTGTCTAACTGTCACAAACTAAGCAACAACTTGAAACTAAAAATGTCGATACATTTAAGAAAGAGATAGTCAATGCCTTTTTTAACCAATCATTAGTGATAAACAGAAACATATTGAGGATTAATAGCTATTTTAAAAATACCATATATTGTAAGAAAACAGAAGGATCAGTATGATAACAACATGAAAATATTTTAAAACTTGATGGCATAAACCTTCTACAATTTATATCAATCTCATTACACATCATAAATTTTAGAAAAAGAAATGCCAGAATAAAAAGTGGTTCTAAAATATATGAACAAATTGTTTTCAAAAATAAGATTAATTCACTTATGCAAACATTATTTTAATGGTAAAAATATATAAATGATTATGCATATATAGTGACCTAAATTATTCTGTCCCCGACTTTGATAAGAGTAGATTATTTTTAATGAATTGTACTGTAAATAGATTTCGAGTTTTCCTACTGTCCTCACCTACACACTGCGGTGGAGAGCTCCATTTTCCCATGTTGCATGTTATCTCATTTTTTTTGGATATCGTGAAACCATTTTCACAAATATAGCTTAATTTACTGCCATGGGGATAAGGCTCAGGTTCAGCTGTTTCTTTCTTTTCTTCTGAATGTTTAAATAAGTTAATGCTTCCATGTTCTATATGAGGTGGTTCAGAACATGGAATTTTTTCTATATGAAAAACAGAAACCAAAGGGTCAAGCACAAACAAAATGTTTAAATTGAAAAACACAATCAAATACTAAAATAAGTATAATTTGAAAAAAATATTATTTAAAAACAAAAAGTTTAACACTTGCAAGGATATATGTCCCCATAATATGTGTATCACTCTCTTCTTGCTCAATATCCCCCTACATTTGTGTCCTATTCATCATAAGGAGTAAAATATGCTTAACAGATATTTTATCTGGTGTTTACATAATATCCAAAGTCATTGTCTACATTTGGTTCACTGAAATGAAAAAATGGTGATTAATATGTGTGCCTAACTCATAATTTGCAATTTCAGGATGAAGTGTACCAGATATAGAAAAAGGTCTTTTTCTTTTGTCATTTACACAAAGCACAGGGGAGTATTAACCTCATTTGAAAGAATGTTACAAAGAAAGTTATACACTACTGACCAACACAACGTGGTATTGACTGCCAGCTTCCATTTCTGCACACCATTTCTTCTGATTCCTGAATTAGATAATTTTCTTGGCAAAGAACAGATACTTTTTCCCCACTTTGATAATTCACTGTGGTTGTCATATCTTGAGCATTGGGAATCTGAGGTGGAGGTGGGCAGGATTGCATTTGTACTTCTAAAAAATATCAAAATTAAACTTCTTGATTAAAACATCATAATTTAAAAATATTAAAAGGATAATTTTTAATAAGTAGAAAATTTAATGACTATGTATCATAAATAATCCTATAATAATGTTCTATGTGTCCATAGATTATACTTTTCAGCCTCTATACCAGTTGAGAATTAAAATAATCCTATAATAATGTTCTATGTGTCCATAGATTATACTTTTCAGCCTCTATACCAGTTTAATATTACCACCTTTGGTTTAATTCTCATAGTTTTTTCACTTGTTACTTCTTTAAGCAATCTTATATAACTTATATAAAACGTAGTTTAATTATTTTTAACATTTAGGATGTTTTAAAAGAATAAAAACTGATATCAGGGTCTTTTGTAGGAATATTCATGATCAAATGTATTGGAGTTGGATTAAAACCCTCACAATCATAGTTAGCAATATTGACAGCATTCTTTCTGTGACTTGCTAAAAATATAGACAATAAAATTTGAAAAGACATAGGTAAATTTGAAGAACACTATGACGTACTTTAACCTAATCCTACAACTAGAATTTGCACATATTTTTACATGAAAATGAAACCATTGCCAAGATAGAAAATGTGTTGTGCAATAAAAGATTACATTTTAAAATATTTAAATTTTGTACAGTATTCTCTGCCAACAAAATTAAATTAGAAGCTAGTAAGAATAAGTTGTCTAAAAAAAGACAAATATTTGCAACTTAAAGAACAAACTGCTAAATAATCAATGGGTCAAAGGACAAATCACAAAGAAAATGTGAAAATATTTCACATGGAATGAAATTATATTCAAGTTCAGTTCCATTCAAAATATCTTCTAATGTATTATACACACTTATTTTTGTTTGACACAGCTAAAGCAGTACTTAGAAAAAAATGGAGCTTTAAAGTTATACATTTTTAAAATATGATGGTTTAAAATGTCTTTAATTTTCACCTAACAATGAGAGGAGTGAAATTAAAATCAAAGTCGTTAGAAATAAGAAAGTCAGTGAAAAAGAGAAAACTAGCAAAGTAAAATAGAAAAAGAAAAATAGCAAAGCTTAAGTATAGTAAAATGTAAGAAAGCCAAAAATAAAAAAGGAAATGAAGAAAATTTAATGCTAAAACTGGTGATTTGAAAATATTAATAAAATTGGGAAAAAACTAAGAATAGTCAATATAAAAAAAGAGAGAGAAAATTATTGAAATCAAGAATGAAAGAGGTAAGTAACATCAGGAAGATGGTAGACTGGGAAGCCCAAACCTTCCCTCCTCCCACAGGGACACTTCAACAACAATACAGCAATCAGTTCTCTTTGTGGGAAATTCAGAAACCGGTTGAGAGGGTCCTGCAACCAAGGTGAGCACAAAACCAGCTACATCAAAACCAGGAGGAAAATTCATGGCATCCCATACTACCTTTCTCCAGCACAGAGTCACACAATTGAGAGAAAAGTCCAGCTCTCAGCTCCTCACTGGGGAGAAAAGAGAAGAGTACAGCTTGTGTCTAACATCTGACATTTCAGAAGGGCTGCCAAGGGACTGGATTGTGTGTCAACTGTCTCTGAGTGCTGATAGGACAGAGCACACGCCAGAAGCCTGGAGCCACTGAGAACAAACAAGAGGTAGGCAGTGTGCTGCTGCTCCAGAGGACACATGCCAAAGCAGAAAAAGGTCGACATATCTTGCAACTTCTCCCTCGGTAGGGAAGATAAAAAGTGAACCATGCATCTATCACTCCAGCTTTTTGGAGAAAAGGCTGAAAAACTGATAATTCAATTACCTGTCTTGGAGCACTGACAAGACCTAGAATTCTTTAGTTGTATGGGGCCAGAGAGAAAAATAAATAGCTAGGTAAGGGGTGATGAACATCTATTCATGGATCAATTCCCTCTAAGAGAAAGTCAGAGATGAGTTAAGAGACTCCTACCCACAGGGCAACTGAGAGGACATCTGTGTCCATTGAGTAGTAAAAACTGAGGCACACTCCAGCTGGGATTTCACACTAGGTACTGTGAAATACAGTGAGGAAAGGAACCCCCAAACGCCCAGCCTCTCTAGTGGAAAGGAGGGTTTGGATTTCAAATACAGCACCCTAACTCTAAGGTTCTCTTAATTCACTATCTCTGTGAGCAGAGGAGATTAGACACTTGCGAGTCTCTTTAGACCACAAGAAAAAGTGATGGCTTAATGCACTTCCAGGGGCTTCCTCCTCCAGAAGCAGTGCAGAGAAGGGGCTTAAAAACGAAGCTCCCTGTTCCTCCCCAGAAGGGGTTTATGATGCCCTCTGCCAGCAGCTACTTGGCAGTCTGGCTTCTAACTTGCATCGAGGAGTTAAAAGGGCAGACAAATATGGGCCCCATTGGCACGCCCAACAAGTGCTAGACTTCTCAAGACTGCTCCCACAACTTGCCTCGGCAATAACTCCAGATCTGTTCATCTCTCCTTGGAAAGAGTTTGTCTTCACATTTATTGCTTCAACTTTTAAAGATTTTGCCCAAATTACTCCTAGCTCTGGGAGCAGAGGAGGCAAAGTATATGTGAGTCTATTCAGACCACAGAAAAAAGTGGCAGCTTTATATGTGCACATAAGCACTCCCAGAGGTTTGATACCTCAGCAGCAGTGCACAGGAAGGGTTTGAAAAACACAGCTCCCTGTTTCCTCTTGGAAGAGGTTTATGCCATGCACCAAGTACCCAAACTTCTGCAGCTACATCCTGAAGGATTCTATCCTAAACCTCTAGGCTCTGGGAGAAGAAGGAACTAGCCGTATGTGAGTCTCTCTAGATCACAGGACAGAAAGGTAGTTTTAAACAGGCATGGAAAAACTCCAAGGGCTACACCACCTTGGAGCAGTGCAGAAAAGGGGTGGGAACATGCAGCTCCATTTTCTCTTTTGAAGGGCCTTATGCTACACAATATCAGTGGCTACTTGATGGCCTGAAATCTAACAAATTTGTATCAGATAGCTAACAGGGCAAACAACCATAACCTCCACCAGCCAAAGGCAGAGCTTGGCACGTCATAAGCCTTTCTTCCAGCTTGCCCCAGTGATAACCCAGGCCTACCCATTCTTCCTGGAAGAAGCTTGACCATTTACTTACCACTACAACTCCTATAGCTCTCATTCACAGGACAGTTTCTTTAACTAACTAGCCATGAGAGTTGTTAGGGTTTGCATTTCTGAGCATCCCTCAGGAAACAAATAGGTAGTGCACAACTGACTCACTCCTAGCAACTATCTTCCTAGTATCAGAGGGTATAGCTTAAATGTGAGTACAGGCATTTGCCACAGATCCTTTACCCAGCTCAGTGGAGAGAGTGGGAAATAAAAACCTACCCCCACTCAGCTTTACAGTGAAGAAAGAAGGAGAGGGTATAGCTTAAATGTGAGTACAGGCATTTGCCACAGATCCTTTACCCAGCTCAGTGGGGAGAGTGGGAAATAAAAACCTACCCCCACTCAGCTTTACAGTGAAGAAAGAAGGAACAGAAACACACAGCTAACACCACAACCCTTCTGGTTACATCTAGATGGTCTGGTTCCTATCTTTTTGGTCTTGGGGTACTGACAGGACATGGGACATTGTAACATCCAGGGGGCCACCTAAAGCAAACAACAGTCTGGACAAACACAAAGATTTGAGAAGCATCTTGAAATCTATGACTAAACAGATTGGTGAAAACCTTTTTTTTGCACAAGGACAGTTTGAGGAAACTGGGAGTGGTACTTGTCTTATCTGATGCACAGAAACCAAGTCAGAGAGTCAAATAAAATGTAGAAAGAGCAAAATACATTCCAAACAAACAAATAAGAACAATCTCCAAGACCAACTTGAGTAAAATAAAGATATGTACTTTACCTGACAGGGAAGTCAAAATAATGGTCATAAAGATGCTTACTAAGGTGAAAATACAATGCAAAAACAAACTAAGAATTTTAAGAAAATGATAGAAAGTACAAAAAAGTGCAAAACAGAAGCCATAAATCTGAACAATACTATACTATAACTGAAATAAAAAATTCAATAAAGAGGGCTTGTTAGTCATCTCAGTTGGTTAGATAGCAGTGTTATAACACCAAAGTCAAGGGTTCAGATACCCACACTGGCCAGCCATGAAAAAAAAAATTCAATAAAGAAATTCAATGGAACTCTAGCTCAAGGAGAGAAAGGATTACTAAACTCAAAGATGAGTCATGGAAATCATCTAGTCTGAAAAGCAAAAAGAGAAAAGAATAAAAAAAAGATAAAGATAGCTTAAAAGATTTATTGGTATGTGAGAAGAAAGAGGGGAAACGAGACAGAAAACATATGCAAAGAAATAATGGCAGAAAACTTCCCAAGCATGGGGAAGGAAATAGAAACCCAGATCCAGGAAGTCCCCCCCAAAAAGGCCAAATAAGATGAATACAAGGAGACCCATACCAAGGTGAGTTATAATAAATTTATCAAATACTAAAGACAAAGAGAGAGTGTTAAAAGCAGCAAGGGAAAGGCAAATTGTTACATATAAAGGAAGCTTCATAAGACTATTAGAGAATTTCTCAGTAGAAAACTTGTAGGCAAGAAGGAAGTAGAATCACATATGCAAAATCCTGAAAAAAATAAACTGCCACCCAAGAATACTATATTCAACAATTTCATCTATTAAAAGAGCAAAAGTGAAAAAAACTTTCTCAAACAAAAGCTGAGTGAGTTTATCACCACTGGATCTGCCTTACAAGAAATTCTAAAACAATTTCTTCACACTACACAGAGAGGATGTTACTTAGCATCATAAAAACATGTGAAAGTACAAAACTCACAGTAAAAGTAAGTGCATTGTCAAATCCAAAACACTGTAATATTGTAATGGTGGTAGGTAAGTCAATTATATCTCTAATGTAAGGGTTAAAAGGCAAAACTACTAAAAATAACTAAAGCTTCAATAACTTGTTAAGAAACACAAATTATAAAAATCTGTAAAGTGTGACTTCAAAAATACA